TACATGTGAGCGTTCTGCCCTTTTCTTCCTTTTGTCCTGTGAACAAGAAGTGCCGCCTGATGGAGGCTGATGTCTGTCAGGTGCTGAACAGGTGCCACATTCATGCACAGAGGAGGTGGAGATGAAAAGCTTCATCCCACATTATCCCAGGAGGAGCTGGCAGGTGACGTTCTTGATAACTGCCTCGTGAATCGATGCCACCTGCTGACCTTTGTTTGTCTTTCGCTGCGCTGTCTAAACTGAACACTTCCGAGGCTTTGCTTTGATTTCTGTGCCGCTTCCCGGCCTCGAACTTGCAGGTGAGATCACATCCTTCCTCTCTGTGCCACATGAATGGATTAGAAAGTATGCGGGTGCGCAGTTCTCCATGCATTCATGTATGTGTCAAATAAACAAATAGGAGAGGAAGCCACAGCCCTGGCCCACGATTCCTCTCCGCGCCGCCGCGACTATGAGGACCATTGTGTGATAGCGGACACACTAAAACAACAACACTCCTACAGAGAAACACGAGAACCGTGCGTGTGAGCGCACAAGACCGCTCTGATACTGGAGGCATTGTGTGTCCTGTGAGGGCTTTGTTTTGGGAAGTGGAGCAGTCTTGAAAAGCTCAGCTGTCTTGGAGGGCTGTTCAAACTTCACGTTACAACCCGTCTTTTTTCCCCCTTCCTCTGTACTTCCTGAAAGATTTTCCATTTTTAACCTCGAGCTGACCCTGTGTGAAACGTTTGGGCCATAACCAACGGATTAACCACAAGTCGTTTCTCAATGGTTTCCAAAATTGCAGAAGTGCAGCTTTACTTCCTCTTCTGTGGGTGTGGCGTTCAGCCAAATGTTCCCCAAATCCCCGCAGGTGTGTGAGTGAACGTCACGCCACATGGCTGAGCTAAGCTCACAAAAGACGCTCCAGATGCTTTGTCTTACCTCCTGCACATCATCCTCATTGCTACCTGAGCCTCTGTGCCCAGAGATAATCCTGTTAGCAGAATAAGGTCTGGAAAGATAGCGATTAAGCAGGCTAGGTAGCAGCTGTGTGAAGCCTTTCCACAATGTGGCCCCAACTGGGCCAATCCTCTTACATCAGCAGCCATACTCAAAGCTCCTAAATGCCTTTAAGAGCTCAGAGTGTTTCATTCATGCAGGAGGAGGCGTTCATTCTCACAGTGGTTTCATCAGGGTACATGATGATGAGGAGGAGGAGGAGGAGCTCTGCTGAGTGTTTTAATGTGTACAGTGGATGTTCCAGTAATATTTCTCTGAGCCAGTGTCTGTTGGGCCATGAAGGTGTTCCTCAAAGTCATTTACAGTAAATGTAAGCTTTTATTCTTTTTTAACTTTCCGTTTTATATGTAAGAATAAAATTGCCGTGACGTCGTCATATTTAAAAAAGAAGCAGTGTCCTGGGATTTAATAATGTTATAACTGTTAATGTACAATCAACCTTAACCAATAAACTATCTGAACATCAAAGTGAATCAGTGAGGACGCAGAAGGAAATCTCATCTTCGTCCTGTGTGAAGCTCAGAGATGATTAAGTGTGACCATAAACTAGGCTGGACACCGCCGCGTTTAACCTGGGAGAGCGGCGAGGGCGTGGAAGTCTGAACCAGAACCAGGCTGGACCTGTTTCAGCACTGCTGGGAGCTGTTGGCATGAAGTTGATCCCACAGAGGTGATCGTTGCCTCTTCACTTCACTTCAAACTCCTCACAACGGAGGAGGAAACTGTGACATCAAGCAGAAATGGAGACTCCTCTTGGGAATGTTCACCTGCTCACACTTTTTCAAGTTTCATTGCAGCTTATCGTTAGTTTGCGATTATCAATGTGTTCCATGCAAACTCCAGACACCTGCAGCAACCTGCTGGTAACCAGTGCAGTCACAGGGCGGTTTTTAGTATAGCAGCCTCTTTGCAACAGCCAGCAAACCTTCTCCAACCAGTCCCATTGTTCCCAGACAGTCTTCATTACAGTGACCGAGGCCTTCACCCTGACTACAGG